AGGGCCAATTAGAACCTGAAAAAAAAACTGGAACCAAAGGGAAGAAAGGGTAACAAGGTCTTATGAGTTAGATACTTACTCGCATGGAGGACTTCACCAAAGGTAACAATACTATCTGATAATCATTGGAGGAAACAGGTCCAAGCTTTAGCTCTAACTGCTGCATCCCAGTAACACTTCGCATCATTCGTGCGTCAATTCTGCTAAGCTGCGATAGCACACGTACAGAGTATTCGTTTAGGAGAAAGGCAGTTATTAATTCTCTCACTCGTGTTGCTTAAAGATAGAAAAGGATACCTCCGCAGACAACTGCTCTTTTTGTTTCTGGATCGCAATCTCTATGAAACTGTCGGCCTCATTAAAGGAAACCTTCAACCCCCATTCATCAGCTTCACCAGATTCCAGATCACGTAGCTGAGAACTCGTACTGGCACATGATTCTTCATATCCAAATTGATTATGGTTAAGAGATTCTGCATCTTTCAAAACATTTGTTATAGCATCTACCTCAAACCTACTACTGATAAACACCAACTCATGGTCACTCTCATTTAGCTCTTCTCTTCGTTTTCTCAGCACGGATTCATAGCTTTCATGGGTAAACTCTGCTGAAGTCTCCCTCTTCCGGCCTTCTTCAAGACAAAGGTCCTCAACAGTCTGCAGTGCTCCCTCGTAGTTTAAGTGCTCGCATTTTCTCTCGCAGAGGTTCTGCAAGTGGCAGAACTCCTTCTCAAGAATTTGCATGATCTCCAGTCCTTGATTTGTTTTCTCTTCCTTGGTGCGCATCCACGACACAATTTGTTCCCCACTAGAGGGTCCTGCGAAGATCCATGAAAGAAATCCATTCACACCAGAAGAGACATTATTGCCATTAGCAATATCTCCAGAATTTGCTATAGCTCCATTTTTCAATGCTGGTCCCGTATACTTCTCTTGGATGCACTCAGTGCCAAGCAACTTTTCATCTAGAAGAAGACATGAATCTTCACCATCAAAAAGAATCTCCTCTGTAACTTCAAGACCCAAGTCGCCAAAATTAACTTCATCAATGGGGTTACTTTGTTCAGAATATCGACTCAATCCACAGGCCTGTGACAAATCTTGCAGGAATTTGAGAATTTTCATAAGCTGGGTAGCTCCCAAAAAGCAAATGCATATGGGTGACTGACCCAAACCACAACTTAAGAACTGCGAAACTGAGGCTAGATTCTGGAGCTCATCCAGTGTAAATTGTATCACCTTATCATGATGGCTGGCAGCTAAATATTTGTGTCTGATAAGTAGTACAAATGCTGCACGAATCTTTTCAAGGAGCTTCGCACGTTCAGGATCATCATATATCGGCCATTCATTAGGAAGGTGAAATGTAATTGGCATTTTACCCTCTTCGGACTCATTCTCATCACAACCATTGCAAGCATCTCCAAGATTTTCTTTCTCTGGTGAAGTATCGTTCCATGCATCCTTGAAGCAGTCGTCACCATCTTCCATAATATCCCCAGAGTGAAACCCATTAAACTCAGTATTTTGGATTTTCTGCTGACTGCGAAGCAGCTTCACCGCAGCAGAGAGATCCAATGGTATCCATGGGGTACTAAGAAGCATCTCAGTCCTTTCACTGTCGATACTTTGAGGCAAAACCATTTGCATCCTAGGTAATACGTCACCCATGTGCTCGTGCACAATATGCTGCATATGAGCCTCAGAATCCAAGAACTTTTCACTGCACCGACAACAAACCCAGAACCTCCAAGTCTTATTAGCTTCACAAAAGGACAGAGCTTCAGTTATAATCTCATTTGCATTGTCATCCTTTAATGAACTAAAGTGACTCTTAAGATCACTAATCTTAACTCTAAGCAATTGTTTCTTCATTTCTTTGGTCATAGAATCCCAATATGACCTAACCCGATCCCTTCTCTCGGCTGTGGAGCCGTTTTTCCTTGCATTTCCATGCCTTCTCCTCTCCCCGCTTCTCTGCCCCGTGCCTAATGTTGGATCTGATCCCTTGTCATTAACATTTCCTACATTATCTGATACGGAAGATTCTGAGTTCTGCTGCAACAACCTAAGTGCAGCTACCTGCACTTCAATCTCCTTCCTCTTCTCTTCAAGAGTCTTAGTAGCTTTCTTAATCTCATTGGGCCTCCTGGCCTGAATCAGGTTACTCTCAATAGGATCCTCAACCGTTCTCCTAAAGGGAATTATCCGAAATTTCTCTTCACCATTTCCCAAGTTTTTCATCCAAGAGGACAACGAAGAAAGGTTGGATTTCTGTATGAGTGACCTGAGCTCATCCTGAACATGAGCGATACGAGCCTCAGGTGTCAAAATCTTCTGCTGAGTCTCATCCTGCAGACTCTCTTTAGCAGGATCAATGGGGTTTTCAATGGAGAGAGCACGGTGGCACTCATGAACAACCTCCTCATACTCTATCCCATCTCTCCCATCGATAGCAGCGTCGTAAAGCATGTTCGCGTAAAAATGCCCAAACTCAATCGAGTTCGGAGAGAGTTCCACAGCTTTTCTAGCAGATTCAATTGCATTACGCAGATACCTGTTTTTCGTAGCTAGATCTTCGAAGACAGAAGCAACCTTGACGCACACAGTACCCTGAACACGATAGATTAGGGCAGAGTCTTGGTGGCGTAAACATGATTCCTTCATAAGCCGAAGCGCCTTGACGTAGCTCCCTCGCCGGAATGATGCAAGTGCCTTCTCGCACTCCAGCTTGATCATAGCAGAATCCAACGGCTCGACATTAGCATCCGGTCCGGCAAATCCGCCGTCATGGACGCTACCAGCGGAAATCCCAGACGGCTCAACCTCTGCCGTAGCAGAAGAAGGCGATTGTTTGGAGCGAGGCGCGGGGGTTTTCTTCTTCTGACCCATCCACGAATTAGCTCAAAACTAATTTAATCGGCATGAAGGATATACCAAGATATGTATACGAGTGTGTGTG